GAAGGGCAGTACCCGAATGGAACGACGACACGTAGCGAAGACTCTTTCTAGACTCGACGTTCGAGTAGCCTGTCTGTGAGACGTGGACGCGCGCCATACAACAAACATATTAAGCGACGCAGAGAACAAAGTTACCAACGCCACTTTGTAAGCCAAAGTAACTAAACCGTAAGAGCAGGCTATGCACCTGGCCTGAAAACTATCACTTCGGGTGAACCATGGGTCGCAGAGAATGTTTACACGCCGCTCCACTGAATCTGGTAAGTGCCTCGAAGGTGAGACCATTTTCACGGCCAGATGAAAGTCCGGCTGCCGTGGATTCATGCCCCTCTGAACAGGGTGGGAGGTATGGATTAGCGCGAGACCTGCGGGGGGTGAAAACTGGTATAACCATTTGCGTTGCGCAGCGTTTACACCGCAGACTGAAGAACGGAGTGTCCCACGACTGACCGACAGATGCTACTGCCACCGACCGGCTGTAAACGGGGTGAAAGTATGTCTAGTACTGATTACGGAGCTAAACCAGAGACACACAGTAAGTTCGAGCGCCTCCCAACACACAAGCCAACATACACACGCGCTCGCCTCCGCTCTTTCGCGCGCGTGGCCAATCGCACATAACAACCAATCGTAGACACGATCGATCGAACGCGATTGCGCCTATATCCACGAAAAAGTTGTTGTTGCCCACCTCCCTCTCAGGAAACGACAGTCTGAGCTCTCGACCTACTTGAATGTCGAAGACGCACTCCATTTAGTGAGAGACTCCAGAAAATCTATCAAATTGAATCAAATTCTGATCCCCCTAGCGGCAGGCAGGGGGTGCGGAGCTCCCCTGTCTGAATTATTATTTGACGGTTATTGCTGCTCCCGCTCTGCATAATCTGTCTAATATGTAGCCAATAAATTCCACATTGTTGGTAAAATGATATTTTGGCCTGCCCCGAATGTTTTTTCTGTAGCCCCGGACAATTCTACCTCAATAATATAATACATTAACCGTGCTTTACGTGAACCTATCAAGACACTAGAAAGGACGGCAGGACTGTAATTTCCCGTGTTCAGTGAATGCAACAGAGGCAAGACACCAGACCAATCAGAGAGTTGCATGGAAATAAAAGTGTGCTTGTGTCATTCAAGCTCGCGGCTCTGTGTGTGTGCGGAAATAGCGCATTTAGTGTGTGTGAGAGAGGGGGAGAGAGAGAGGGACCGGTGCCAGCAGCAGGGACCGTGTTGTTAGCATCTGGTTAGCTAGCTGCACTAACGGACATACGGAGCTGTTTGTTCCACAACAAGCTGGAGGAGAGCTCTCCTCTCAGACTGAGGGGCTCAGGTGAGCTAAAGGACTCTCTGAGTGTTTAGATAGTTAACTTTAGTCTAAGTTATCTCAGTGGGTCTCAAACGGTTTGGTCAAAAATTATTCAAAAGATTATTTCCGCGGCACACCTTCATATTATCATTATAGTTATACAAAAAAAGAGAATAAAGGAAAAACAATTATGAAATACTATATGGCAGTAAAACAAGAATACAGTTTGAAAGGGGAGTGATTTGTAAAATATCCATAAAGAAAAAGAACATCTGCTTACAGTTGTGTTTCATCTGGGTGTTGAGAGATGTATCCATAGATCTCAAAGTGCACCAGATTGATGCTTTTAACTTCAATATTTAAAAAAAATCTTCCCGGGGGAGCATCCACCCTGACCCCCCTAGAGGAGGTGAGGTCCGCTCCCCACTCGTAAAAAATAGCACTTTACCCCTGCCTATATGCCGTGAGCTGATTATCGAGCCTTCATTGTAACAGTCGCGGGTTTACTGTGTGTTTGCATGTGGGGAGTTTTTTTGTGCGTGCTCTATAGTGCCCGTAATAGTGTTCACTGGAGTCCAGCACCTCAGCACCCCCACTCAAAATACCTTCCCGCGCCTCTGGCTAAAGGACTCTGAGTGTTTAGAACGGTTTTGTCACAAAGATTATTTCCGCGGCACACCTTCATATGATACTTATAGTTATACAAACAATAAGAGAATAAATGAAAAACAGGTATGAAATAGCCTACTATATGGCAGTAAAACAAGAATACAGTTTAAAAGGGGAGTGATTTGTAAAATATCCATAAAGAAAAAGAAAATCTGTTTACAGTTCTGTTTCATATGGGTGCTGAGAGAGGTATCCATAGATCTCTTCATGTTGCTCTCAAAGTGCACCAGATTGATGCTTTCAACTTCAATATTTTAAAAAAAATCTTCCCGGGGGACCATCCCCCCGGACCCCCCTAGAGGAGGTGAGGATCCCCCTAGAGGAGGTGAGGTTCCCCCTAGAGGAGGTGAGGACCTCCCCCCATAGCAATTTACCCCTGCCTATATGCCGTGAGCTGATTATGGAGCCTTTATTGTAACAGTAATTCAGATACAATTAGCCTATATAAAAGGCCTCAAATTGGAAGCATTGTCTGGGCCGTCTTTTTCACTCAATTCTGCAATAGGTAGATCTCGCCTTTCACCTAGGCCGAGGTCGGTGATCTTGGGCTTAAAAAGGTTGGTGACCACTGATTTTAGATGATCCAGAAGAGGATTGGGAGAATGTCAGATGAAACCAAAATAGAACTTTTTGGTAAAAACTCAACTAGACGTGTTTGGAGGAGAAAGAATGCTGAGTTGCATCCAAAGAACACCTTACCTACTGTGAAACATGGGGGTGGAAACATCATGCTTTGGGGCTGTTTTTCTGCAAAGGGACCAGGACGACTGATCCGTGTAAAGGAAAGAATGAATGGGGCCATGTATCGTGAGATTTTGAGTGACAACCTCCTTCCATCAGCAAGGGCATTGAAGATGAAACGTGGCTGGGTCTTTCAGCATGACAATGATCCCAAACACACCGCCCGGGCAACGAAGGAGTGGCTTCGTAAGAAGCATTTCAAGGTCCTGGAGTGGCCTAGCCAGTCTCCAGATCTCAACCCCATAGAAAATCTTTGGAGGGAGTTGAAAGTCTGTGTTGCCCAGCGACAGCCCCAAAACATCACTGCTCTAGAGGAGATCTGCATGGAGGAATGGGCCAAAATACCAGCAACAGTGTGTGAAAAGCTTGTGAAGACTTACAGAAAAAGTTTGACCTCTGTCATAGCCAAAAAAGGGTATATAACAAAGTATTGAGATGAACTTTTGTTATTGACCAAATACTTATTTTCCACCATCATTTGCAAATAAATTCTTTAAAAATCAGACAATGTGATTTTCTGGATTTGATTTTTTTTTCTCATTCTGTCTTTCATAGTTGAGGTATACCTAGGATGAAAATGATAGGCCTCATCTTTTTAAGTGGGAAAACTTGCACAATTGGTGGCTGACTAAATACTTTTTTGCCCCACTGTATGTTCTATTTTGTAATTATATCCGTTTCTCTATTTTGATCCCCCCTTTGTTTGTTTTTTCGTGGAGTTTTTTTCTATTGTAAGGTTGTAAGGACAGTTTACAATCTTTACAGCTCCCTAAGACAAATTTGTGTTTTGCTTTCTCTATAAAATGTTAATGGGATGATTGATCGTGTGTTGTTTTGCAGCTGGTGCTGGACTCTCAGAAGCGGGTGTTCAGCTGGGGGTTCGGTGGTTACGGCCGGCTGGGGCACACAGAGCAGAAGGACGAGATGGTGCCCCGGCTCGTCAAACTGTTTGACTTCCCTGGACGCGGCGCCGCTCAGATCTGTAGCGGATACCAGTGCTCCTTCGCTGTCAGTGAGATGGGTAGGCAGATCATTAGACACAGTCTCTCTGATGGGCTCAGTGACGTTGGGGTCTAACCTTAAAACCATCACATTTGAAAATGACTTCACTTTGGCAAAGGCTTTTTATACTAAATTCCAAGTCAGCTCTATAATAAATGCTGTTTGGTGCTGCTATACTTGAAATGTCTGATCTGGTTTTTATTTTGCAGGGGGGCTGTTTTTCTGGGGGGTGACAAACACTTCCAGAGAGTCCACCATGTACCCCAAAGCTGTGCAGGATCTGTGTGGCTGGAAGATCCGCAGCCTGTCCTGTGGGTGAGTCCGGACCCTTCCATCTGTTCCGCTCTGCCTCAGGAGCTTTCATTTTATTGTCTGGACCTAAAAGAACATCCACCGAGCTTCACATCTGTCACCTTCAAGGGAATGTTGAGTGCTAATATTCTCCTGATGATAATATTATTAGATTGATGGATACTTTATTGATCCCAAATTGGGAATGTCCTTTGTTACATTAGCAGTGTGTTTAGGTATTGCAATTTAAAAGGAGGAATATAGTATAAACATTAAGAGAAAAAAATAAAAAATACATCTACATTAGAAAAGACACATCACAAATAAAAAATATATATATTCTGGATAAGTTAAAATGTTCCATAAAAGACCAAATACTGCAGCAACAGAAATATAGACTTTGTGTGTGTGTGTGTGTGTGTGTCAATTAGAGATGTAATGGGCAAGGGAACGCTTTCGTATTAAAGTGTAGGTACCCTCAAAGTAATCACTTGCTCTACATAATAATTTTGACCTCCCTTTGTAGAGTTTGACTGAGTGTGTTTGTGTTTCCCAGGAAGAGCAGCATCATTATTGCTGCAGATGAGAGTACGATCAGCTGGGGCCCCTCGCCCACATTTGGAGAACTGGTAAGACCTGAGGCCTCAGCCACGGCTGGACACACTGTTCATTATAACTTATTTACAGATAATACTGGCCGTGGTGCTGATTTTATTTTAAAATGTTTCCTTCAGGGATATGGAGACAACAAACCCAAGTCCTCCACCACCGCTCAGGAGGTGAAGACCTTGGATGGGGTCTACATTGAGCAGGTACCTTGACTTGTCAGCTCCTATTGGGGGAAAACTACAAACAATCAAACAGATCACTTAGAAAATGTCCAAACGGAGTACTCCCAGATAGAAAGGACCTTATCCTCAACATTAAGGGTTCCAATTAAAACGTTCCTCTAAACCAGGGGTTCCCAAAGTGGGGGTCGCGAGATGATTACAAAATAAAAATGGAAAATAAAAATTGATACATTTTTTTTTTTTTATTATTATTAATAATAACGTTTGCATAGACATTTTTTTCTTTGACAATCCACTAGCGCAGTGTTTCTCAAACACCCCCCCCACTTTGTTCTGAGGTAAATTATGTACTTCTACTCCACTACATGTATTTAATACCTTTAATTACTGCACAGATGTGGATGAATGATGTGAAATATAATCAAGTGTTAAATCAGACTTTAGTTCCACCTGAAGTAAATCCACAAGCTACCCTGCAGTATACAAAGTCATTCAAACTAGCTGCACCTTTACCAGCTTTGAGAACACTTTCATGATCAATCATTATAAAACATATCATATATATTATTCTGAAATGGACCAATCTGCACAATGACTACTTTTACTTTTGGTACTTTCAGAATTTAGATGTCACATCTACTTTTGCTTGAGTAACATTTTGAATGCACTCTGTGCTCTGGTACTTTTATTTAAGTACAAGATCTGAGTAGTTTTTCCACCCGTGTTGTGTTTGCAGGTGATGATGGGCTACTGTCACTCTCTGGTGATTGCCAGGCAGGATACAGAGCAGGAACAGGAGAGACTGAAAAAGCTGCCTGAGTACAACCCCCGAACAATCTGATTGGACCTCTATCAGCAACACCTCATCCCCCAGAGCATGGCCCGCCTGTTTGTCTCTGCTGGTGTACAAGTGGGACGGATGAGTTTGGGGGGGAAAGGATACCCACACATCTCAACTACCAGCAAACTGCCTGCACCAATTCGGACACTGCATTGAGAGAACACGGGCTGGAGACTGACAGATTCCCTGGATAGTCCACCAGCTCCACCTCGAGTCTACCTACAGAAGTTGGCTCAAAGCACTTCACACCTTTGAGTCTTGCTCGCCAAAAACCCTTCTCCATTTTGTCAAACAGCCAAACGTTCATGTCTTGTTCTGTTGTTTTCTTTGTTGCAGTATATAAAGTTGTCACATTTACAGGTGCTACACCGCAGGACTCTCAGTCTTTTCCCACTGAGGGCTTTTCAAAGACCAATTTCCATTCCTGTGCCTTTTTCTACGCGATTGTTCAGGATATGGAAGTGTTGTTTGTGTTGTTCAGCGGATCAGTGTACGAGCGGTGTGCTGCTGCCACACATTACAATCAGGATTTGGAGCACTCCATTAGATGGTTACATTCCTTTTGTTATGGTCAGTGTTTGCATCAAGAATGCACCTGTCAGTCTTTCCAAGACCTCTGTCTGCCAGATCTGTCTTTGCTCAATTAACTATTCCAGAAGCAGGACAGGATCTTTCTCATGCACATGTTCATGTCTTGAGGTGTTCTGGAAACTAAGGCATGTCTTTGTTTTAAAAACAGCAGAGGTGTTTTCCTCATACCTGTAATAAATACTTTTTTTATGGTGAAATGGGTTACTTTGTTTTTTAATTTGAATGGTGAATAAAGATTCATGTGAATGGATTTGTCTACATATCTGTACTTGGTCTTAAACATCCTATGCCACCAGTCATTAGTTGCAAAATTCAGGGGATTTTCAAAGATGGAAATTTAAGGGAATAAACTGGGAATTTTCTAAATTGAAGGTTGGCTCTTCATAGGGAACTTAAATATAGTTGGGGAAAGTATATTTTAGCATAGCATAATCTTGACTAAAACAAACATGCTATTCAAGTACACTTGAATATCCATGCCATTCCTCAATCAAATGCACACTGCTTACGGCATGGCTATTGAGACCACACCCTCGACAGCAGGGATGGGCAACATCATTTATGTACTGGCCACCAGGGGGCCACATCTTCACTTGGAACACACCCACAAATTAGTAGTGGCGGCTCAAGTTGCTTACTTTCATTACAGCAACGGTCTGCTAACATACTCAACATTGTGGTTTACCCCTGAATTCAGTGAAAATATATTCTTTCTCCCACTTTTCTTGGAAAACACGATTTTCGTCATACCTCTCTCTTGCTCATGCTGACATGCAGTGCTCATGTTACCCGCTCTATCGAAATCAGTTGGAAGTTGCAACGGCTCATTTCAAAATGACAATTCGATTACCTTTGCAACCCTAGGTCTGACAGTCCCACTGGAGAATTACATATTTATCAGTTTCGAGCACAGAAGTTGAATTTGGTTTCCCCAAATGGTCACTTTTTATCACTGCTTTACAGAGCACCAATACAATTCTAGCTGACCTAACTCACTGAGTAGTGTGCAGTTTATGCGACAAGGGACTAGTAAAGTTCATCCAGTTAAATCTTAAGATTACTAACATGCGTGCCAGGTTTTTTTAAACTTTCCTGTGAGGAAAAACATTTCAAGACACACCTTCTGTACTGTAAACAACATTTATTTAAATGTACAAAAACTGATTAATTGTATATTTAATCTTCATCTTCCTCCTCCTCTTCATCCTGGTTGATCTGGAAGTAGCGCAGCTCGTAGCTCTCCTTGGTGTTAGCCACAACACGCAGCCAGTCGCGAAGATTGTTCTTCTTCAGGTACTTCTTGGTCAAATACTTTAGGTATCTGCAGAACAGTCAGTGTGTTACATTCACTTTGATAACACGTAGGACACATTACTTGTATTAATCTTTCACAGACAAGTGTAGCATCATTTTTCCTCCTCAATTTCATATATACTTTAATTTCTGAGGATTGATAATGTTTTTCACTAAATATTTGTATTTTTGGTTATTGATAATAGACAGTGTTCCTCATATCAAACAGTTCAACGTTATCTTAAAGCAGTAGTTTAACCTCTGGGGAGGGAGGGGGGGCAGGAGCTCCAACAAGCCGTTTAGGACAGAGTGTATACAGAGATGCTGTATGAGAAACCAATGTGAG